TTACTGTAGTTTCTGGTTTTGAGCGTATTATAAAAATGGCAGCAGGTGAGTCTTAATCAAGGACGGAGGCATCTGCTCAAAGACCAAAAGTATTCAAAATATGGGAATACACTTTTGAGCAACTGTTGATAGAATGTTAGAGTTCAGCATTACAGTTCACATCGTAGAATTGTGGATGCTGGATCAAACTGTGATCAAGTTGCTTTGACGCTCTGGATGCTCGGCGCTCTGGTTACCGTATTTACCTGCTATGTTCAGTAGTTTCAAGCTAGAGAGCACCTTGTATTTATTTACTTTATGAGTTGAAAAAAATACTTCTAACAAGGATTTAAGCGAGAAAGTCCACCTCCAAACATCTATGCAGTCAGTTCACCAGGATTATGAACCCACTAAAATATACAGTTCTTATTCGGAGCGCCAGACCTCCAGCAGCTCTCTGCTACGGACAGCCTGTGGGAGATTTCCTGCTGCCGTTAGGGATGCAAGTGATTATAAAGAGGTTTTAAGGTTTGAATTCAAAACTTAAAAGTACAAGAATATACAATAGAATATTTTTCATCGGCAGGTTTTAACATTACTAGTTAAATTGGGTATTTATAAACTTTTTAACCATAGTTCATAAAAATTTTTTTTAGTGCAGCAATATTGATCAAAACTCGCTCTGTTCCTTCTACATAACAATCCATTCTTCCTGCTTCTTTTTTAAACCTTTAAAGAATCAACATTGGAAACTGCTATGCACAGCATTTATAGTAATTTTTGTGCTACATCGACAGCACCACTCGAGATAGAGGGTTTATCATATTTTTTTTTTTACTTGGCTACTCTGCAAATCCCCAACTGCGGGGATTTTTATTGAAATAAGTCGACTAATCGAGAAATTAGTTGAAATATTGGTCAATAGAAAATTAGTCATTACTGGCAGCTCTACATTCTAATCAAGTAATATAATTACGAGTAATATAAAGAAATGAATGCAAAAATCTATTTAAACAAATAATTATACTCAGTTTTAGAAAGGATTTAAATAGTATAGTAAAAATCTGCAATGTCTTTAACAGAATGCAATATATATATATATACATTTTTTGCGATTCTGGTTTAATTACTGCTCTGTATGGGTTGTTCTTAAGTCAAATGTCTTGTTTTAGAGTCTCTATCCTTTTAATTATTTATTTACTACATTAGTTAATTATTATTTTAATAATTAATTAAATAAAAATTAAATGTACCCACCCGGTCATCAGACTCTTGAATTTACATTAAATATGACACAGAGGGCTGGGAAGGATTAAATATTTATACTTTTTTCAGTCACATAGTACAGCCCTAATGACACCTTTAAATGCTTTCACAAGACTTGAGAAGACATAATTTCTTTTGAAGATTAGTTTACATATTTTTGAGAACATAAAAGTAAATCTAAGGAAAAGGTTTTGCTAACTTAGCCTAGCATTTGATAAAACACAGTGGACCAACATCAGAGTATATGATGGCTTCAGAATTCTTCACCAAATGGGAATTCTGGAAAGCACTACACCTCAAGCAGCATGGGATATATGCTTCCAGACTCTGCAACCTTGGTCTCTTAATTAAATATAAAATGTTTTACTTTGATCCAGATGCTGAAAACCCGAATATCTTTTAGAAAGTTTATTTTGAAAACTCACATTGTTGGAGGCTCATCAGACTCTTCGACAAATGGTTGGAAGGTTGGTTTTGGGGGTGGTGGAGGCATGACTGCATGTCCAAATTTAGTTTTCTGAAGCACCTTTGACATTTATAAAAGCAAAAGTTAAATATGATCTTTAGTAAACAGCAATATTCTAATTACATGACAAAAAGAAAATTTCTATCATACCTTCACATCACACCATTTTTCAGGCTTTTGTTCATTTTCTTTTGCTCTTGATGTTGGGGGAGCCACCCAAGATTCCAGAGAAGGTTCTGATGGACCACCAGCTTCTGCTTTGTTTTCATCAAAAATAACCAGCTGACTGTTTGAGACGTTGCCGAGGACAGGGGCACCGACAGTCTGTAAGCCTCCTCTAATACCTACGAAGAAACCCACCATTAATGAGGAATGCAATAATAAGACGTAATATCAGCTAAGAACTTCACTACATATTAAGAACTTACCTTTAATTGCCTTCCCAGTCCTGTTGATGGGAGCAATAGCCTTCTTTTTCCCTCTATGTCTGAGGTCGGCAAGGGAAATTCTTTCAGGTTCATTTGGCTCCTCATCGCTGCTGTCATTTTCCAATTTCATGAAAGCCTGTCGGGACACACGAGCCTGCAGAGCTCTGCCAGTGTGCATGCAAACACATTTATTAAAAACAGTTTCAAAGAGTTAAAAGTGAAGCTGAGAAGCGTAGCTTTGATTGAGCAGATCTTTACTTGTGGAACTGATGGAGCCTATCATGTGGCGCAGGGCATTTTTTAAACGCCTCCTGGTATATGAGGTCAGCTTTTCGATAATTTCCCTGGTTCTCGTACTCTTCAGACCAAGCAATGTAAAGCGACGGCTGTGTCACTCCTATCCCCTGGGCTTGCATATAGCTGTAAATGTCGAGGGGTTCTTGGCAGTTTGCTGCCTGGCAATATAAAACACAAACATTTAGTCTTTTTTTTTTTACCTCCTCTAAATATAATTATCAAAATCAATCTAAAAGAAGTACATACAAATTTAATCCAGAGCTCAACATAGCGAGGGTCATCGTGGTACATCTTTTCATCTGTGAATTTGGTCACAGCCCGCTCCAACAACATTGTAAGGTTGCTCTCTTTTCCTCCCCGAGTGAAAGTTTGCTCTGTCCACTTAATATATCTTAATATATCAGAAAGAGTTGAAGAATGCAGACCAGCTTCTATGGAAGATGTTGCTCATGTATTGACTTACCTATCCCAAACGCTAAGTGGATCATCTCCATCATACATTCGTAGTTCAGATTCAAACATCCTGATGAAACAGAAAAATAATAAAACCCAAGAATAACGATGTGATAAATTATTGTAATAAAATTTCTCCTGGAATGCTAAATGTGGAGGGAGATCCTTCCTACTGTTTCTGCTGGTTGATTGCAGAAGTCGATCCTTCTTCTTGTTGGCTAAGGGCTTGATGTAAGGCTGATATAGCCCTGCCTCGCCTTAGTGGCTGGATGTTCTCTTTGCTGAGTTCCCAATCCATATCTCCTCCTTCCGCCATGGTTGATTAAATGTCTTGATGCCTAAGCATACACACACATATTGTACCGATTGCTCCAAAATGTTTTCAATACTATTATTAGAGATCCTCTTTTGTTTGTGACAATTCTTTTTCTTATGATCTCTTGAAAAAACATATTGTCATGTTGAAACAAATATCTCTGTTAGTTTTAATTCAATTATATTATATTCAAACCTCAGTTTTGGTTATAGCTCCTGGCTTTTGGTGTTGTTATGTTATTTTAATAATAACATGATATAATTTAGTGTAGTTCTGTATAACTTAGGTTAGACTTGAATTATTTGTGAAAGCTCCTAAATTAACAACTGATTATTCTTAGGATAAGAACCTGTAATTAAAACACCAGGATGTAATCCTTTTGTTTTTTTTTTAAACACAATTATTTCTTTATAAAGCAACTGGAGAATACAGTATGACAATCTTGAAAAAGTTTACTTTTAGAAACAAGGTTAAAAATCAAAATATTTTAATATATCCCCAAGAAATGTATTTTATGTATAAAACAAAGCTGATGCAAACAAGTCTGTATGTTTAATACAGTGCCCTGAAAACAGATTCACTTTATTCTTTTGTCAGACATTCCCTGTCTTAGATTATTAAACAAAAATTCTAAAATCAGACAGATTTTTGGCAAAACGTGTGAGCTAAAAGAATAAATAATAAACGCAATCCTTAACATTTATGACTAAGTTTACAACCCTTGGTGGCATCAGCTGCAATTGAATGTTAAAGTATGCCACTTGAGGAGTTTTGGATTGAGCATATTTACAGACCAAAAAGACTGGCAATTTTTTAAGTAATCAGTTAGTAACAATTAATAGTCTTTGCCCTAAATTAAAGTACGTCTAGTAAAAAGGAAACAATAATACTGGCAATTTTTAAAAAACATGATTTGTACATGTAAATACTGATACCTCTCGAAACTCTTAATTTGTTGTTCTGTCACTTAAAAATTCATCATAATTTGCAGTTACATTGAGATACAATGTAAATTATTGCTTTTGCATGGCATTGTACTTGGTCTCAATAATGACAACTAAATAGGTACCATGTTTTACATAAAAAAGTGCACATCTAGTTTGCTTTGAAGTTATCTTGTGGCTGCCTTAGAAACAGAAACCAATTATTGAGAGTTTCTGCCTGGAGCTCAGTGTGAAGAATGCTGAATAGTTGTTAAGCATGTAGGACAACACTGCTAATAATTATTTAAAAAACTTGTTTAACGCGTATCTGAGTAATATTTATTAAAATATGATGCACCTCTGGAATAAAGTAGAATGATTTTCTGCAAACTGATGGACGCAACTACTGTTTACAACGACAATTAGACATTACAACGGTGTAATCATTTAACTGTTACTCAGGATGATAGAACACATAGATTAATATATAAAAGATTTGATCTATTTAAAATATGCAACGTGGTGGGCTGTGAAAGATATAAAATAAACACCCTTATCCTGCAAACATGCTACGAATGACTTAGCTAGCTAGCAGCGACATGAGGAGCTAACATCTTTAGGTACAACAGAATTACTTTACTTCATAAGCTAATTTGGATATATAACATGTAGTGTAATAGGTTATCGACAAGGAACTCGCCTTCATACCTTTTGGGTGCGTATAATGGTCTCCCCACACGATATCTTCACCTTAAAAACACCGAGGTGACGCCGTTAAATTCAAACCAAATACCTCTTCTGTTTTGAACGACGGCGGCGGACTAAGCTGATTGGACGAATCCCAAACCGGAAATAAGAGTGACGTATACGTATGGTTTCCGGTCTACTTCCTGTTTTGATAATGACAGCGTTGACTTACCCTTAATGCATAGCTCTTTTTACTGTTTCATGTCTGCTGTAGTTGTAAGACCTTACACGTTTGTCAGCTAGGAAAGTATCTGTAACTGTACGGCGTTACTAAGGAGGTGACGCCATGGAGAGTCGTTGTTACGGCTGTGCATCAAAGTTCAGCCTCTTCAAAAAGGAGGTAGGCTACCTTCAGTGTTTGCGATACATAACATACACGCAGATTCTAATTTTTTTATTCATCTAGTGCCAGTTTGGCCAATTAAATTCCGCCTAATGTGTGTTATTATATTTAAAGGGAATAAAAGTAGTAAAATTCGATGCTATCCGACTTTGACATTATTTTGCTATGTCACACAATATATGACTCAGTTAAAATATAGAAAACATAGACCAATTTGGTAATTTAGATTGGAGTAAGAAATATTTTTAATTGATTAAAATAATCAATGCTGAAAATGTTCTGGATTTCCATAACAGACAATGAAATTGAATACATATGAACTAGAATGAGTTAAAATGGTAATGTTTTAAAAGGTAGGTGGAAGTTTAACTGAAGAACCGAATCGCTCTCCTATATCCACCTGCAACACTGCCAATCAGCTTTGAACCACACCTCCACGAAAGCCAATCGGTGTCCAAATGCGCTGTGACTTCATTCAGATGACACCATTTTAACGTTTGACCATGTCCAGCCTCTCCTCCACCATTGTAGCTAAAGCTTCACCAGAGTCTCATTCCTCCCGGACTCTTACTGCGTTCCCTGACCGCCATGTTGAGCCTTGTTCTGCCAGAGGTTACTTCCCAATGGGGAGTTTTTCCTCTCCACTGTTGCTGCATGCTTGCTCATTATGGACAAGTTCTCTCAACCTGTGTTATCCAAGCTGGACTTGCATCTTCCAGGTCCCTGAGTGAAGCTCTAGTATCAGCTCACGCAATCCACTGGATCTCCCCATAAAGCTCAGCATACAGTCTCGCTAACCAGCAGTCTATAGACTGACCAACTTCATCTATCTCCACTCCACCACCAGTTTTAGGCCTGGGGAAGAAACAGCCATATTCTTTGCTCCTGTTCATGCATATCTATCACAATTAAGTGCTATGTTCTCTGCCAAAGTCTGAGCTCCAAAGACAAGTAATTGTATCAATAAATATCTCCTAACTGTCTTTTTTCTTTGTGTGAGTTTTTCAGGTTGAAATATGCTCGGAAAAACCCCAGTTAAATTGTCTGTGAAAATTTTCATTTCACTTGAGAATAAGCAGCCTGATCAAATTCCTCCTTTTTCATCATCAGAGCGAGTACAAAAATAAATAAATATTTCTATAAATATAGAAATAAGTATACGAATGATTAAAAAATAGACCAGAAACTCAAGAATGGTTAATATCACAATACCCATAATTATTTAAGTGTTTTGGTAACATAGGAAGTGTAATTTCTGTAAAATTGTCCCCTTAGCTGGGCTGTAAGAGCTGCGGTCGCTCCTTCTGTTCCAGCTGTTTGACCTTCAGTGCTGTGGTGCCTCGCCATGGTAACACCCAGCAGAAGGTCTGCAGGCAGTGTCATGGTCATCTCACAAAGTAACCTCCTCCCACCTTTTCTACATATGTAAAATATTCTCAATGCATTCTTTTATAAGCTAATCTCTCTCTCTCATTATTATTAGAGGGGAACCTTCAAACAATGCTGGAAGATGGTCCCCTCCAGAAAACTACAAAAAGTTTGTATAGAATTTGTAAAGAAAATATAAATTTCAGTAGTATTTCATAACTTTTAAAATTCTTTCCTTTCTCCTTTTTTTTTTTTTCAGACGAGTTGCTGCGCTTGAAGCAAAACAGCAAGCTCAATCCACACAGGCTGGTGTTCATGGAGGGAGTAGAAATGGCAAATTGGTCCATCTACCAACCAAAGGGCTTAGCAAAGAAGACCAGGCTATTGCTGATAAGCTTCAAAAGCTAAAAGAAGACACTAAACCGAGTAATAAACCAGTTTTTTAGCACCTAACATCTTAACCAAAGCAGATGTTTAAAGTATTTATTTACAGGCCATTGGGGATTCTCACAGTGTCATAGTTTTTTTCTATACCGAAATGGGATGGGATTAATAAGAAAGTATATAAAATTAAATAATCTACTTTTTGTATTTATTTTCAGCTGAAAAACAATACATTTTTTAGTGCTGCTAAAAAAAATACCAGAACTGTTATCCTATTAATGCAGATATTAGCAAACCTTAGAAGGAAACCGGGTATTCTTAAATTACGATTATTGGCTGACCTGCTTGTTGCACAGATTATTAGATCTTTTAATGCCTCTCTGATCCTTATAGAGTAACACAATCAACTGTTTGTTTTTATTAGTTTTAATGCAAATGTAAATATTTTTCATAGGGCTGGAAAATATTAGAAAACATGCAGCTATGGTATTTCATGCTATAATATTTAACTCTGCTAGATATCATAGCAGGCAATTTAACAAAATCAGAATGTCATTACTGCTCTTCATTTTTCCCTCATCCCAACATGGCCGCTAATCTCCTAAAGCTTTAGAAGCTTTTTAACTTAAACATGCTGATGTCGGGGGCTTTTAAAGCCTTTCCAGACAAAAATTTCAGGGTTCTTCTTCATAAGACATGGAAAGGACCTGGCAACCAGGGAGAACTCCTCACATGCAGGGAATGATTGTTTTCTGATGGTTTATAATCAATTGTTAAGAGTTGAGCTACATTCTTCAAGAAATATTTAGATTTTTTTTTATTGAGAGAATCTGATATGTTGTCTGCCTTTATTAATTAAGACAGAGAAAGTGTTGCTCTGTTAAAGAATAGGGGTAAAAAGATAAATATAAATGGAAACAACTCAAAAAGTATCTAATGAAAAATCTTTTGACAGTTGTTCAGACTCTCTTGGTCTTTATTTTTGCAAAATTTCTTTCAGACTTTTTGTTTGGATTTTGACTGCTTTTTGGTTCAGTCTTGATGTTTCTCATCCAGTTCATATTTCTGTGCATGACCTGGATCTCAGCTTCTTGTAAAGTACATTGCAATAATTTTTTTTTGATTGGCATAATAAACTGGAGTTGTACTCAAATTAATTGGTCCTGCTAAAAATCAACGCAGGACCAAAATCGGGTCTATTCATCAGATGATCATATAATTTGTGTCACCTTCCTTGTGCCTGCACTATTCATAGATCAACGTTAGGTGGCTGAACAAGCAAAAAAGAAAAGGAAAATATGCTGGTCGCTATGAATAATAAATTGCTTTATAAATCCGTCCATACATCAGAGAATTAAAACAACATATCCGATGTTATTACTAATTGTGAAGAGTGCAAACCTGATATAAATCTAAGCCTTTCTGTGCTGGGGCCTCATTTTTCTCTTTTAATCTTTTTTATATTGTAAAACAGGATCTTAGTTTTAAAAGATTTGTTATTCTCAGAGATCTAAAACCAGTCTGTGCACAGCACTACCATATCTCTCTCTCTTTTAGGAAAACTTTACTGACACCTGTATTCTTGTACAACTTTTTAAAATCTTTTTAGAGTCTATCCCTTCTGAGAAAGAGATAGAGTCACGTCTTGCTGCGCTGAAAGCTCCCAGCCAACCAGTGCCTTCTGCAGAAGAGATGGAGGATCGCCTGGCAGCTCTGCGGGGTCAGCCACCTCCATCACAAGCCCCTCGACCAGTGAGTTCCTCTCCTTGTTATGAGTTAGATTCAAATATATGCCTGGTTAAGAGAAGAAAATATACAGGGTGTGCTTATGTGATCACGCATACAGGTACACCAGCCCCCTGACACCAGGACTCAGACTGAAAAAGCTAATGATTTGATTACTCAGATGGCAGACGAAGCTGCCATTGATGACCAACTATCAAGCCCAGAAGATGGTAAATAATTATTTGTCTCAATACATTTATATGTAAAGTTCCGGTTAGATGTTGACTGTCATCATTATTAAAGGTATAGAGGACAATCTTTTATCTCTGGATGGATCGTCTAAACAAGTGGTCCTCCTAAATATCATTCATTCTGGTAATATTTTTACGTAAGGCCGTCCTACATGCTCGTCCTGTTAGCTCTTTTTCTGCGCATGCGCACTTTCAGGCATATATATGTGGTGAGCTACGGTTTCAGGCAATAATTGAAGCTCACCTTTCTCACCATGGTTTTTTGAAAACGGCCGAGGGTTGTAAGAGGAAAAAGTCTCTATGAAGTGTATGAGAAGAAAAGAAAGGCGTCAGAAGTGGCAGATTTATCCCGTAAAGTCTGTGTGGAGAGCTTTTCTTGCAAAGCACTAAGGGATTTGCTATCACAGCAGCCCGCTGTCGCCATAGGCTGTCGACACCCGACAGCGGCGACTAATAAGAAAGGTGGTGCAGGTACCACGCAGTGGACCAACGGGGAAGTGATCATCTGTCCGAACAGTAAGTTGAGTTTAGAGTGACTGAGTTCACTATTAAGTCCCCGCTCTATATAGTGTTTTAGGGATTTGGGGGTTAGGGCAGACGTTCGGGCACAGCAAGCTTGTATGAGCTATGAGTACAGCAACTTTTAAGCAGAGTGTGCACAAGGAGAAATGGGCTCCTGCATGCTCTCTCTCACACACATTTTTTTTTTTTTTAAGTTGAGAGGGCGGGTCTTTTAAAAGATTCTAGAAAATCCTCCATCTATTTATATATAAGGATAAATGTATCTTAGCAAGTCAAAAAAACAAAACAAAAAAAAAAACAAATAGAGGCCATTAGAACTGGCAGTAGCTTTAATGGTTTTCACATTGAGTACAGAATATTGAAGTAGGAGGACCGTAAACCAACAACTAAATGGTATAAATTTAAAAAAAGTCTTTTTGTACAAAGCAATGATCCGAAACAGGCAACGTTCCTTTTTTTGTTGTTGCAATGAATTGAGAAGGTAAATATTAACTACTGGAATTGCGCCAACTTCAACCATATGGAAAATATGTGAGTCATACCTGAATGATACCTTGGCACTAACCTGGTATCAGGTTAGTGCCAAGAAATCTACCAAATTAAATGTCCTATTTTGTTATTTTTAAGAAAAACAGGAGTCTTATATCCCGCCAGGATTATGTCCCATTTGTTCCACAATTTGCCCATTGATATTTATCTAAATAGAAGAGTTACATCTGTATTTGCCACATGAACCTTTATTTATTTATTTATTTTTTGCATTTAATTCTTGTATTTTACACTCAATGGAGTTTCAAGTGAGACACCCAATTTCTACTAACTGTGAGTGTTTGTAAATGTCTGACAGCCTTTCCGTAATAATATGGTTATATAACAGTTTTACAGAGTCTGATCAAGTTGTCGTAATTCCCTTAATAAAACAACAGCCTTTTGTACTTTTCCCGTTTGAAGGTGTAGATATGAATGATCTGAACAAAGGGGAGGGTGCAGCTTCAGATGAAAACTTGGAAGACAACCAAGGAGGGATCAGGAAGCTGGAAGCAGAAAAGGACCGTCTGCTCGAAGAGGCCATGAAGGAGCTGAGGAAGGAGCACCACTCCCAGGATCAGATCCTCCACATGGCCAAGAGGCTGGCACAGTTGAAGGGGCAGGACCCAGATAAAGGTAACTGGAGCTAAGGGCGCTGTAATCTTATCCTTTATCCCTGTTTTATGGCAGAATTTCAAAGAACAAAGTAAGACAATACAGCACTATCTCTATAGATATGAGAAAAGTGTTGGTATGCTTGTTAAAGATAACCCCACCTTTTTCTGCTTCATGTTTAGTAACAGCTGACGACTTCAAACAACCTGATAGTGAAGAAGAAACAGAGGAAGAAGCTGTGAGGAGAGTCCTGAAACAGGTAAGGCATTGTACTCTACATCCCCCACCAAACCAAAGCTGTTGTTTAGTAGTTAGAACTGCCATGATGGCCACAAGAGGCTGCTGTTTGGCCATTTTAATAATACTTTGTGATTTAAAATACAGACATGTTTTGGATTTTGTTCGTTCCAGCTCTCAGAGGAAGCTGCACTCGATGAAGCCAGCGGATACAACATTCCTATAGAACAAAGTGGACCCAAGAACAGAGAGAAAAAGAAAACCTCTAAAAAAACAGTATGAGATAAGACCCAACAACCAAATCGATTGTTTTTGCTTGTTTATTCGTCTAGAATTTAAGCCACTCTTGTTATGTTTTAAAGACCCCCTCACAGAAGAGCAAGACTCCTCCAGCCGCTGCTGTACATCAGCCTTCAGACAGCGACGACGAGGAACTTCCGTGGTGCTGCATCTGTAACCGTGACGCCACCCTCCGCTGCCACACTTGTGATGGAGACCTGTACTGCAGCCGCTGCTTTCGGTAGGATAAGATCCATTAATCATCATAAATACTCCGCAGATTCTAGTGTATGACTCAAAGCGGAGCCTTGCTTGGAAAATCTTCACTTTGCCCTCAGGGAAATGATTTGGAATTCATATCCTGACCCAGATAAATCCTGCGCAGCTTGCCACCATACTGCTAAGCAGCATGAATATAAAGAATTTACCGTGATTAATTATCAATCTGCTCTCTATTATCTCCTCAGGGAAGGCCATGATAAATACGACAGGAAGGAGCATCACACCAGTAGCTACACCGCTCCAAAGAAGAAGAAGACATGATACTAAAGACGTTTGTCCTATTAAGCTGACCTCTAATGATTGTAGGGCTTACTATTTAGCTTCATGGGGTGTACAGTATTTACCCTTAACAGAAAAAGAAAACACTGCAGTAAACATCGTAGCACGTTATCTTCCAGTGCCTGGCATAAGTATTAATAAATGCTGTCTGATGTGTTCATGCATTTTATGGGGCAACTAAAAACTTGTATTTATTGGGCTATTATGTCATAAACACAGTAGCAGTGGAAAAAAAGGACTATAATGTTTGGATCCTTTGTTACAATCATTTGTATTCAGCTCCCAGTTGTCAGCACTACATAAAATCACCTTCTTCTGCAGAATAAAGCTGCAGATATTTTGAGGAATATCCCTCACATCCATAAATACATCAATATTTTTCCAATAATTCTTTCAATTAAAAAACCCAATCGGATTGGATGGGGAGCATCTCTGATTGGTTTTGATCTAAACTATTCCGTTTTAGCTTTTAGGTTTGTGTGAAGGTGATTCTCCACAAATAACTCTTATATTTTCCTCCAAGATGGCCCTCTGTTACGCTCCATCTCTCTTTCTCTCAGTTGTCATGCTTGCTGATAAAAGCATCCCTGCACTGTGATGCTGGCGCCATGCCTCATCGTGCTGATGTGACAGTAGTTCTCAGTTTCCACCTTAGAGGGGCTTTTATATAATCTTAAATAGTTAATTTTTCGTTTGACAAAAGTACTTTTTCACATATTTCCTGTGTCCGCCATAAGGGTTATATCTAGGTACCAATCAGTCTTCTGTTGGGTTTTTCTGTTTATTGTTTTTCATCTCTGCCAGAAAGTCCAGATTGGTTGTTTACACCACTCAGTTGGGGGGGGAATGGATTCTACCACCTGAGCTGTGGAATTCTGCAGCTCCTCTCGAGTCCCTAAGAGAAACTTCCACAGATGCCACAACTTTAGGTTTCTATTTTCTAATCTTAATCTGTGTTAACCTCCTTACTTTCTCCCTGGCCTGCCTTCTGTGTTTATGAGGCTGTTTGTTCACCAATGTTCTCTAACATACCTCAGAGGTCTAAACAAACAGCTGCATTTATACCAAACTCAAACTGCGTACCGTGGGTTTAATTTAGTGATTCAGTAACTTCATGCGGTTGAACTTTATTTTAGGGTATGTTGTATAAAAACTGAAAAAGAAAAAAAAAATGGATGCAACACAATTCAGTTTATCTGTTAAAAATGTATGAAAGTATGTTTTTTTTTTAACTTCCACTTAATAATTTAATGATTGGTGTTGGTTTGATACATGAATATATATCATCAAGATTTGCAATTGTGACAAAATGTGAAAAGGTTAAAGGAGATTGATTCAATTTGAGACAAAGTGGAAAAAAAATAAATAAATTAAAGAGATTAAAAAATACTTTGTAAGGCTCTTAGCAGCCATTAGACTAAAATAGACGCAGGCTTTAAATAACTGCAAAGCAAAAAGTTCTATATCTGAAACTCATCTTTTAAAAAAGGTTGAAGATTTTAAATTAAGAACATCTTAGAACCATCGGGGGGAGAAAAAAGAAGCGTCAGGTCTGTTTAAAGCTGTTATACGTTTTCATGAGAACAAAGCCTTCTCTGGAGTGTACTTCGCACAGGTCACTATCGGAGTATTTTTAACGCTTTACAGCAGGCAGCAAAAAGATCACAGAAGAAGCAAAAAACAAGTGAGCCCAAAAGAATCATTGTGGCATTTGTTTCCTTTAATATTTAGCTGTGTTTCTGACAAAATATCTTAACTTTCTGTTTTTTATTCATTTTTTGTATGCTAAGTGAAGCAAAATCATCTGCTTTGTAATAATTTTTTCTAAAACTAATGGAATGTATCTGAGAGAAATATCAGTCTGTGCTCCATGACTGTTTGGCCATATAGAAAGACTTTATGAGTCAGAATCATACAAATGACTGTAATGGAGCTTTCAGTGAAAAGACCCCCATGTAGGACAGTGAGAGGACCGTTTTTTAGCATCCATTATTGGATAGCTAACAGAAGGGGAAGCCATCATCACTCCCTGGGGGCTTCCTCCATTAACGATGGCCATGTTTGCATTTCTGGTGAAGTCATGCATCGCCACAGAGAGGAAGTGAATGGGTTTAATGGCTGCTTGCTAAATGGAACATCCTGTGGCTGATTTCAGTGTGTTTACTTCTAGACCTGACCTGTCAACGCTTCTGTTGTTTCCATCACTCTGTTGAAAAATTAATGTCAGAAAACAACACTGGCGGCTGGTCTTCCAGTCGGATCCAGACGCTGAACCACCTGGCAGGATGAAAACAGGGTTTGGTAGCATTAAGGTTTCATTGAAGCTGTACGTTTTGTGTATGTAACTTGGCTGTGAATTTTTTTTAAATATAACTATTTTTATTAATTCAGTTCAAAAAGTAAACCTGTAATTTTGTGCAGCGGTGTGAAATATTTCAAGCATTTTATTGATGTTGATTAGAATTGATTAAAGCAAATGGCTTTCTGTTAATTAAGGTCTGTATCCTAGCATTATAATTGAAAGTAGTAGAAGGAGAAAGTGGTAGAATAAAGTAAAGTGCTGAGGGAAGTACAGAGGTGGCTGGTCACAGTCAGTGGTTTTATTACTGCTTTCACTAGACCTCATTCGCCTGTAAAACAAGTTGACCTCATATTATATAGACAACTCCTGGGTGTTTTTCTTGAAGATGATTGAAACCAAACATGATACTAATTAGCTGAAGGCTGCTTTAAATCCCACTGGGATTTCTTTACATCTCAGCACTGGCATGGATTTACCTGTTAGTTACTATACATTCCAGTGTTAAAAACTTCTCGTCTAAAACTGAATTTTGGTTTCTCATTTGCTTTAAGCCAAATTCAAAGTTAACTGAAACAAATACCAGAATTCACTGAAAAAAAATGTATTACATTTCTTTTTAACTTATTTAATTCAAGTAGTAAGTAAACCATTTTTTTTTTCGATACCATGATTTATTCAAGTTGAACATGTTGGTGCATAATCAATGCCTAATAAAACACACTGGTTCATCACTTTGCTCTGGATCTAATTATTCGCACAAACAGCCTTAATTTGAAAAGCTTCCATTTTATTCCAACAACATTGTTACCTGAACAAAATGTCTATTTACATAAAAAAAGAAACTGAAAATGTACACTTTTAACTCCTACACACACATGAAAAGAGTCCATCTAGGTAATAGTGTCAGTTTTATCTCTTTTACATTATATATACTGTAAAAGGAGTTTAAATCTTAGAAGAGTCCATAAATTGGGAAAAACAAAAATCCAGTCTGGGGGGAGGGAGACAGGTAAGCTCTCACTGATGTGTCATTCTCTCTTACAGGCATTCAAACAGTTAACCCTTCGGGAAGAAGACGCTCCCCATCTTGATTCTTAACTTGACCTATAATTATTTCTTCAAGGGGCCTGACATTTTCCTTAGGCCTTTTATCCTGTAGAGCAGCGCGTTGATAAAATCCTGTGGAGAAGTTTGAGAGGGCACATTTTTATTCTCTATATCAGTTTTACATAGAGAAAATATCCTAATAAATACATTTTTCAATTTTTAGAATATGCTGCTTTTTAAAGTGGAAGTGGAGATTATATGTCACTTTACCTCTTTTGGCTTTCCGCATTCTTGCAATAGCTCCTGATAAGAGAAGAAATATAAAATTAATAAAATTAATTTCAGCTTATTTATATAGCACCAATTCACAACACATGTCATCTCAAGGCCCTTTACAGAGACGATCCAAACAGATCATACAGTCAGATTGGTTCAAAGTTTTCAATCTAAGGAAAACCAGTTGATTGCATCGACTCACTGACTGCAAGCATGCTTGTAGCGACAGTGGAGAGAAAAACTCCCTTTTAACAGGAAGAAACCTCCAGCAGAACCAGGCACAGTGTGAGCCTGGTTCTGGTTCTGATATTAACTTTTGTGTCCTTTCAACAGGGAGGCTACAAAAATGTGAGAAGGAGGGCAATGGGCACCCATGAAAAACTAAGCTTAACCAAGGCCAGATGGGCTTATATAGAGAATATTTTGTATACATATAAATCTACAATGGAGGAAGATGATTGTTGATATTTATTTGTTCGGCAGAGATTTTATCCTTTAAAGGAAAGTATTATCAGTAGCCCACATTCCTCTGGAAATGGTCTGCAGGTGCAGATCATGTCAAATTTAAATAAATTAGTTTTTGCTTGAACAAAATAAGGGAAACATACTGACAAATACAGATTAATAACCTGATCAAACACAGGTTAATATGTTGAAATTAATTGATTAATGAAATTGTTCAATATTAGTTCCCAGCTAGAATGCATCTATTGCTTTGGAAGAAAGCAGAAATGCTTTTTCAGATAGATTGTTAAGCATGCCATCAACATTTAGTGTGACTTTAAACTGGATTCAAGCACCAAATTGGGTTAGGCCAAAGGTTCAAACTGTATACGCAGAAATGGTTACAATCAACTCTTAAACCTGAATATCTCCAAACTAATCTCTGTTTCTACATTTAATTCCGTAAAGAATAACATGCAACCAGGAAATGTTGCATTCTCTGGCTTTTGAGATGCAAATCTGCCCAACAGCTTGGAAACCAGAAGCATCGTACAGGATGTCAAAAACCGCCAGGAAAAGATGCGTTTACCAAAAAAGAAAAAAGTTTGAGCTGCTTCTTTTTTATAATATGACAGTACACAGTATTAATTTGTTTATAACAGACATCAAAAGCACCTAGAGATCCTGTAAAATGAATTGGCGGATTAGACTTTGCAGACCTGGCTTTACTGAGAAGCATAAAATGAAGAAACTGGAGGCCTGAGTTTATGCTTTATTGAATAATTTGTGGGGAGAAAATCATGTTTAAACCTTGTTGGTTTAAAAACATTTATTATCTGTGCATAGAAATGTGCTCACCTGAAGACGAGTTCTTTGTCCTTCATCGGGCAATTCTAGAAGTTCATCTATGTCAATTTCTATCTCTGGAATCTCCTCCTCCTGTCAGGGATATAGAAGCTCATTTAAGTATTTTCACTGTAACAGTGTGAATATGTTTTTATGCTGTACTTTTTAAATCATTCATAACCTAAAAGCATGATTCCATTTAAATTTTACAACCCTTTTGTTACAGATTGTCCCAGGTGAAAGGGAGCTGCTTTCAGAGTTTAAACTATAGTTGTAAAGTAAAAAGGTTTATTTCTCGTAAAATGATAGTTCAGTGAGCAGCATGAGCCTTGGGTTTGAAGGGCTCTAGTAGGCCTTTGTTTACATAAGGCAGCTACAGTTTTCATGGATGGATTACCATTTACTATGTGGTTCAACCATTACAGGGAGATTATTTCCATCTATTGAGCTCCATATTAATCCTTAGTTGGTTTGCCACACATTATCAGCAAACCTGTTCCTGACCCCCCACGCAACATCAAATATTTTTCCAAATTTGATGTGACAGACCAACAAAAGGAGTACATAACTGTGAAGCTGAAGGGAAATTATGAATTATTTGTATTCATTTTTTTATAGAACAAAAATAAAAAAAAAATCTGTTGTGAACATTTGAATTGAGCTACATCCAAAGATTAAGCTATTTTAATGTTCTATCCATTGATAACCCATTTTAAATCTGATTTTAATAATAATAATTGAACTTTATTGATCTAATATTTGAGAAATTTACCTCTGTATTTAACCCATCCCCTTGGGGAGCAGTGGGCTGCCATCATGGGCTGCACAGAGAACAGTATGGGGTTAAGGGTCTTGCTCAGAGGCACAGTCTGTCTCTGAATGGGAGTCTGTGGGAGTGGGGCTCAAACTTAGAACCTCACAATTCCAAGCTCTGTGTCCTAACCACTAGGCCTCCACTCCCCACAATAATTTTTAGCAATATTTTACTAATAATTAACCAAGAGTGGCCAAGATATTGAAGTTATAACCATTAATTCTAACTTGATGTTCCTTTTCTCAGCTAAAGCAAACAGCAAAGCAATTAATCTGTATAACCAGCTTTTAATAATCCCCCTCTCCACCCACAGAGAGACTGGGGACTGCAATCAGCACAGTTCATAGACTGATATCTGGAGTCAGCAGGAGCATGCTCACATTTGACAAGCGTGGCCTCATTTTAGAGGGAATGTTTTCCGGATGAGGAATTTCTTGGCTAAAACCAGTTGGACTTGCACAGCTCTCAACCAAAGGAAGGTAATCAATGAGGAAGTGCTGAGTGGTGAAATAGATGGGCCCTCACCAGAGTCCCCTGTGGTGCCTTTAATTGATATGTACTGCAGGTTTGGACTTTCTCTGATTCTGCTGAACTCTGTAAAAGGAATCTATGAGAGAACTTTTGGATCATGCTTTATGCTACTGCACGCACACTTATATGCTCAATTGTTTCCTATTAACAACAAATAAAGTATGAATAAGGATAAATCTGGCAGCTTAAGTTGTAAAACTGCATAAAGTAGTCAAGTGATTTTATTAGATTTTTTTTCACCATAATGTGTTTCAGACAACCAATCTATGCAAAGCATCACTAAATATCTAATTGCAATTCTTTTCCTCTAACTAGCTAAACCTACAAGGTTTCATACAGTCACTGGTTTTCACTTTGTTGGGAGTCTTAATTGGAGGAATGTTGTATTTTAATGAGACCACCAGGCATAGACGTCTCTGTAGCATTTTCTACATTTGAAAAAACTGATCTTAGAGCTACTGGCATCACTGCGATAAATCACAAATATCAAAGCAAGTCTTGGAGGGCAGCAGTTTTTTATTTTTAGATAAGCAGTTAAAATTCAGAAACCTTTTGAATATTTATGGTGTTGGTGAAAAAGCGCAGTTAGTAAATTATTTATCTGTGTCTTAGCGTTGTGTTGGATTTAAGGCTTTTGTATTATAATTGAATAAATTTCTTCTAAAACTGAGGCACATATTTCTTTTTTTCATATAGTTTCTCTCTGAAACCAAGTAATTCCCACAATTTTTAATATACAGGTATCATGGAAAATGATAAAATCCTAAATTTCACCCAAATTAAGAGCAATAATCGTTACAGTCTAACACTGAGCTTTGCTATGAAAGAAACGGGCCAAAACAAAGTGCCAGGGATAGAACTAAGAATCCAGTTAATGTTAATAGTTTGAAGAATAGATATTAGTCTGCAATCATTTGAATAAATATGTAAAAAAAAAAACAAATCATTAAATAGTTTCAATGTATAAATAATTCATATTATTTAGAATTATGTTTTCATTTTTCCTTAATTGCTAAAATAAAAAAAATGTAAAACTTAAAAAAACACTATTATTGAGACCTTGCATTTATTTAATCTAAAAACCAGCTGTGATTATATAATTAACTATTGAACACTTTGACTTTACTTCTGCTAAATCGACTATAGAATATTTTAAACTGACACATGTCAAATAGACCCTAATATCAGTGCTTCATAGCACCTCAAATACACAAGCATTCATTATATATTTAATATAAATGTCACATAAATATGTTTTATTTTTGCATGTAATTTCCTGCTACCCTAAAACGAAACAGTCCCGCTGCTCTTACTGTTTTATTTTAGTAAGAAACTCTGTTACAATTTAAAACAGTTTTAGTTAAACTTCCTACAGTTCCCTAACATGTTAGGTAACCAAATCCACTGGACCACCCTCCTGCAAAAGCATCTCAACAAAACATTAACATGACAAACACTTTTTTGCGTTTATGTTATCATGACGGAAACCATGGCCTGGAAAATCAGTCTGTTGTGAGACACTGCTGGTGCATGTTTAACTTATCAGTTCTTTTCCTGTTCCTGTCAACGTGTCTAAATATCCAGTAATTACTCTGAGACAAAGGGGACCTAGTTAAAAGAGCTATTGATACTACAATTTCTCATTTTCTGTTTAGAAGAATAAAAGTTGTGCAAACTTTTGGTGATAAAATTATTTAATTGGATAACTTGAATGCTCTTAACATTATAAGCATAAACTTCAGTCTATTTGGTTTTCATTTTCACCAATGAGAGTTGGAAAATGCAACAAGATTTTTACTTGTGTGCATGTTTTTTAAGTTATATTTAGAGTCTGATAACTCTAAATATAGCTTATTTAAACAAATGACCTTCAGAACTCACATTAAATAAAGTTTACCTAAGCTTTGAATGGTACAGAGCACTATTTAGTTTAAAATATGTAAAACTTCCTAATATACAACAAATCTATCACAGTCGATCTAAATAGGCCAGACAAAGACAGCATTTGTTAGAAATATAGTCACTTTAGAGAAGTACTTAAAATTAGCTCTTCAAGTGAAAGAAGATGTTCATAGGGAAACCATTAACTGCGTATTTCCCAAATTCACCATAGAAAGCTGTAAATTTATTGTTTTCATGTTGACTAATGTTGGGAGTTGCATTGTGATGTGGGGATGCCTCTTCTCTTATAGACAGGAAAGATTAACAGAACTGATAAGCTGAATGACACAAAATATAAGGAAACTTTGGAGCAAAATTAAGAGGCTGTAAAATACTTTAAGTTCATCTTCAGGTTGGTCAACATCTCAACCAGTGTTGCACTGGATTGCTTAGAATCAAACATATTTATGTGTTTGAAAGCTTCTTCAAAGTATAGACCTAAACCCAATTGACAGTTTGTGAAAATACATAGGAAGCATGGATTAGAAGTACTGAATGAAAATATCACTGTAGTGGCAACATGTTTTGAAAACTGTCTATCATTTTTCCCTTTTACTTTCCGCTATTTTCTGCTCTTTCTTCGCCCACATCCTAAGAAGATGAAGAGAATTTTATTGTATTACACTAACATTATGCTACTGTTCAAACTTCTTTAAAGAGGAAGTTTAAAACTTTTTAGAAGGTGTGAAGTTCCTATGAAGTGGTCCCCTCCAGACTGGGCAGCACTTGTATGAATTAGAAATGCAAATGAATAATTTAGGCGGTAACACAGGGGACTGATGGTAAATGCTTCCACGCGGAAGACTCAGAGAACCAACAGAGTAACCTTTACCCAAGCCCCATGCAAAATTTATCACACTACCCAGTGACCACTGACAAGCGGCTCATGCAAAACATTTGGAAGTTAGATAATTTATTGTTGGGTTGGAATTTCATTATTACTCTTAGAAAGAATACATTTATGATTAGTATTTTCCTGACACGGGTCTGGATATTTGCGTTGTTATTGCCAAATCTTACAAACTCATTAACATTTAACTTTTACAACAATGCTATGAAATATATTCCTTTTCTAACCTCATGCAATCTTGCATCTTATGTGCAACGGTGCTGAAAATAAGAGAGAGACCATCCTATACTTCAGTTGTCAACCAGAAACGCAGACTTTTATTTTCTTCTGCAGCAACATTAGAGAGCTATTTGTGGGAAAGAAAGAGATGGCTGCAGACAATCTACTACAAACTCTGTACTAGCTTGACTTTACAATAAAATGGGGGAAAAAAACTCATTCCACCCTTTCCGGGTGGAAAAGAGGGAGATCTTGTCATCCGATCGCCACCGTCATCAGGAAGCTCATGCTGCTTAAAGGACAACCCTAACTCTAACTATGCCAAGCAGTCTCATGTGGGCGATGAGACATCTGTTGCCATGGTTTCCCCTCACAGAACACCAAGCAAGTCAATATGGAGCCTCTGACATAATTGGATTGTATCCCACAGCACAGGATTTGCTTTACGATGCCTGTATTCCTACGCTTACAATTTGTTTGATGTATTTTCCTAATCCACATTATGTTAGACTGATAAGGAAAAAGGATTTTGTTTTTTTTTACACAGAAATGTCAGCCTGCTAACAATTTTGTCCATATTTGATGATCTATGCACCGAATATTTCATCAGGGCTTCTTCAGGATGGAACTGGTCATTAAGTGACAGTGCTGGTTTTAGGACTGGGTTGTTTGACAGCAGAACTTGGTGTCACCTGCCTTGTTTTCTCTTGTGGCTCTCATCATCCTCTGAACCATACATGTTAGATGAAGTTTAAATGGGGCAACTTTACTGTCCAATTATTTAGAATTAATTAAAAATAGTGTCCCATGGCTTCTAAAATCCTGGATGTGGAAACTTTACACTGGACCTCAAGTTTCTGAATCCTGTGCAGGTTTTCTTTGAAAGCTTTGGGAACTTGATTCCAATTTAAAATGCAAAATTTACTTTGAAGAGTGAAGAGCTCGGGAGTAGTGAAAGGAATGCAGCAGTTGCATGCCATTTCCTGGTTACAACTGTGACTCAGCTCTTCAAGCACTGTCTTCAGCTGCAGTCCACACCTTGCATATCGTCCCTGAACTCTTGAATTGCCTTTGCGTCACAATGCTTTGTAGGTTCTGTTGGTTGTTCCTGTTGCATGCGGGCATTTCTACAACACTTTTTCTTCCACTTAACCTTCTATTTTATCCATGTTTACATGTTTTTTAAACAGAAATCCTTTCTAGCAAAAGTCTTGCATGCCATCCTGCTAAAGCCATCTGCTGTATTATCAGGACAGCAACCTTCCATATGTCCTTATGACTGTGTAGGGCCTAGCATAATTTTTCTGTATTAAATATTTATTTTATCATTTAAATGTCAGTTTTGTATTAGCTGTAAAGCCACACATGATGGATCCCCATAGCAGGAACCTTTAAGCAGTTCTTCACCACATTTCCATTAATGCAAAAGAGTTGACAGTCAGAGTGAGAGAGCTCTGTCCCCCTACCTCACAGTCAAACAGCAGGTGCAGCTGCCCATCGATCCACTCCTCAATATCCAGCCTTCTCTGCAGGTCCTTGCGGTTGTACTTCACTGTCAGTTTGCCCAGCTTACGGTTTGCAGGGTCTTCAGTCTTGTCCGGCGCCTGGAACACCACCCTGGACTGGGTGCTTGGCTCTGACGCCATGGTTGCCACGGCCTCAGGAGAACCGTGGATCACAGACAGAGCCACAGGCAATGAAGCACTCCACGTACACACCAACTCCCCTCCTCTATTTGCTTATAGCTGATTTTCTAATAGGCTGCTGTTCTCACACGCTGCTCCTCTTTTCTTCTGTGTCTTTAATTCCAGCTTCTGGTTCTCTGCTTGTCCTTGTCGTCCCTCTCACTTATTCTCTCTGAAGCTCACTCTCTTGCTCTCTTTCACTCCACCTCCTCCTTTGCAACACCCACTGGCTGCACTATCAGGAGGATGGTAATGAGATATGACTCTCTATGTGAGTGTGTGTGCGCTTTGCAGGGTGTATAATTGGTTTTTGTTCTTTCTTTTCCTTATAGCAGGTGGAAGAGCATAGGTCAATTGCACCAATAAAAAAGAAGAAAGGTTGAAAGGGCACTCATCGATGGATTATCAGTTTGGCTGCATATCTGCTTAAAAACAACAACTAAATCAAACATTGATTTGCATTTTGTTTGCACAAATTGAACATAAAACATAAGAATCAAATTCCAGCACAACTTTTGTTGAAGTATCTAAAGTATTTATTGTCTTCGAAGTGAAAAAGCAATGGCCACACCTTCAGACTACTACTACCAAGAAGGACTGTTTGTATGATTTTTTCTGAAAAGCTGTTTAGTTTTATGTCAGGTTTATTGGCACATACAACTTCTTGAAAAAAGTTCAACTTTTGTCCCATAAAATGTTTAAGGATCATCAACATGTGTTTTAAGGAATTGGGAGAGAGGGATTTGTGTTAGTTTAGGTCACCAGTGGTTTAAGCATTGGAACTCTACCATAGATGATAGTTTTGCTCAGATGCAATAAAACTTCAAGAGAAGGTCTGCTGTGCTTTCGCTTTTGTGAAATTTCAATACTGTTGGTATAGGCTCGGGAAGTAATTTTGGTTTGCAAATCCTAGGAACTTTTTTTACGGTACAGGTCTATCAATAATCATGTGTGGCTAGTGAAACTGAAATCTTGCTTTAATTAAGGTGACTTTTTTTTTATTAATTCAGGTTGGAAAACTCTTTATTTCAAATTTAAAAACCTTTTTTCCTGCACTGTATTTCCAACTGTGGGGAGGTCCCTCTCTGCCAGGTGAGCCAGGGTTCACCTACTGTGGTCATTTCTTTATACTTCTTATGGTAGCCATTATCAGGTGCATGTGTAGTAAGGCAAGTCAAATCGGCATCCTCAGTTAAGCACTCTTACATAATACATGAAGAAGAGTTAGCTACTCATGGGTGCCAAATTAGACCAATAAGTCGAACGTAATTCCAGAAATCATCAATATTTGTAAAGGAGCATGTAACAGCCGAACACATCAAGCAATCCGCATAAAAACGCAGAAAATGTTTCAGTATATCATAGCAATATGATTAATGGGCATTGAGGTTCTTTTGAGCACGCATCATTCATAGCTGGCAGTGTTGACCCTCTGATGCACCGTCTGTTACAAGAACTAAATTATTAAGGCCTTCTAGGTACTCACCTTTCCAAGCAAACAAATTCATTCATCCCATGCCATGCTGCTTTGTTCTGCATGGTGAAACTGGTTAAAATAAACTACAACTGCAAACCCATGTAAGGTCTTCTCACCTCCAACTTGGCTGGGTGGTTTGTTAAAGGGATTTAAAAAACAAAAAATCTAAAGGAAGCAGTAAGTCAACAAGCTGCCTCACTGCGGGTTTAAAAAGGTAGACTTTCACTCCCAGAAGCTGAGCTTACCTGCTTAGTATTTGTTCTGACTTAGGTTCACTAGATCTTGGAATTACTATAAATCTATGTTTCATAATATGTTAGTCTTTTCACTGTTCCTCTGCAGGTGTTACCCAGTGGTTACACAACTCATTTCATGCCATAACATGGTCACCAGTCTAAGCAAGCTTTGTGCTCTACTAATTAAACAGGATTCTGAGCTCTGGTAATAGAAATAATAACCTAATTGTATTTCAGAGAGAATGAGACAAAAGATTAGTTTTTTAAATAAACAAGTTAGTCATCCTTAAAATACCTTTAGCTATTGATGTATTAACACTGCCACCTGCTGGAACAATATGAAACTTATTTAAAACTTTGTGGCAAATGATAATATAAGTTAGAAGACATTGTGGTCCTAAGCCATAGAACAGAGTCTGAAAAAAAAAAAACTTTCCTTCTAATGCTCAGCTTGAACTTCAAAGACTTAATTTTTTTTTTAGCAAATCTCAAAAGGTTTTATTGAAAATGCTCTAAATAGTTTTAACCCTTTTTAAAATCGACCATCATCTACATCCACCCTCTGTCCTCACATAGATGCATATTTTTCTACCTTTAAAGCCTCATTTAAGTGATTCATCAGAGTTTGCTTGTTTACAAACAAAATCTTAAAGCTTAAGTTATGTAATGCACATCCTTTTTTTTATATACTTTTGAGACATAGATTTCCTCTTTTATATCTAGTATTTTTTACCCCTATGTTTAAATATATACTGATTTTAACATCTGAGGCATTTGTGCATGAAAGCAGAAGGTAACTGCACGTCAATGTTCGTTGTTATAATTTACATATTTCAAGCCTGTTCATGCTCATAGTTAATGGTAAAATAACTGGTCTGTGGTCACAGACCAACAGTCAAAGCCCCTTTTCTACCGCACAGACAGATGCAGAACGGAAAAGAAACTTTTTCTCTGGCCACATCTTGAATTGCACGAGAACAACCAACTAAACCAGAGCTATAAAAGAGTTAGATAAGATGCAGCTTTCGCTTGAAGTCAAATTTTTTCAAGCAGAGACACATGCTAGTAAATAAATGCAATGGTTTCAAATTTATTTTCAGAAATAAAATCCTCAGACGTTGTCAAAGTAGTAAATCGAGTCTGTCTTTGTAATTTAGAGGTGTCAGAGGTCAGTGAGATACTCATTGGGCAAATGGGGGATTATTCAGAGGAGTAACTAAGGTGCCCATGGAAACTCTGGAAGAGCTGCAGGGATTCCCCACTCCTTTAAAATCCAGGACAAATATTAGCCACAAATCTAGCTTTTATGGAGGAGTTGTAAGAAGAATAACATTGTTGACAGTTTGTTATAGGAAAACTCAGTAAATGTGTAGGAGCAGGTGCTAGAAAGTAGACTGAACTGTATGACTGACATGGAAAGCGCTGTGTGGAGGAACCATAACACTGTAGATTATATTAATAAACCATTCACATGGTGAAAGATGGAGATGATGGCAGCATCAGGCTGTGGGGAAGCTTCTCTTTAGCAGAGACTGCTGACGATTGGAGCTGATCTGGATTAGTGGGACAGATAATGGAGCTAGATCCATGTCAGTATTGGCAGAAAAACTGTTTTCATTCAACTTTTTCCTGCTTCTTCTGAAATCTACAATCATTTATCTTGTTTTGTTGACATTCCAGAACAGATGATTGTTTGCACACCACTCCATAAAATGGTTCACGCTTCTTGCTTATCTCTGATGCACTCAACTACAGCAGAGTCATCTGAGAATTTCTGCACGACAGGACTCTGTTTGGTACTGGAAGTCAGAGATGTGCAGCATAAAAAGAGAGAGTAAGAGTACTGTTCCCTGTGGTGCTCCTGTGCTGCTGACTACTTGATTAGACTGCTGACCCTTCATTCTAACAAACTGTGGTCTGTTCGATAGGTTGTCTTTGAGTCTTCTGAAGTTTCTGACAAAGTAAATCAGGTGGAATTGTATAAAATGCACTGAAGAACTCAAAGAACATGCTCCTCACATTGCTGTCTGCCTTGTCCCATGACACTGGGTTTGTTGAAAAAGTTGTATGATGGCATCTTCAAATCCTTGGATAAACAAACAGCAGGGGGTTCTGATAGCTGCTTGTTTGCTTGCTGAGGTGAACCAACAGTAGGCTCTCTAGACCTTCATGAAGTGGGATTTCAGGGCAACATGTCTATAATCGGTAAGGACTATTGGTCAGTAGACCGTCTGTGAAGATGCTATGAAATGAATAAAATAAGAAATAATGAAATGTATATGTAAATTAATTTATTAAAAACAAATAACTAATATTATTTAATATATATATATTATATATTTAATTATTTAATGGTATTTACATTTTACGTTAACAATTAGCTACTCAGTATTAAATTCTTGATTCAATATTGTATATTGCATAAATTGTACATTTAATTTTAGGGTAAATTAAGGGTACAATTATTTATTTCATTTATATATTTCAATTATAAATTTACTCCTACACTATATATTCAATGCAATATTCATTTATTTGATTTTGTCCCCTTTAACCTTCAATTCACTCTGCTAGTATCGTTTGTGGGTCAGTTTAGTGGGGTTAAACCTAGCTATGTTGATAGAAAACAATAGGCTTTTGTGACATGCAGCCTGCATTTAACAAAGGTGGATGTCTTGTATCACTGAATGAATTCTTTTGTCTGCTATATACAAACATAAGCTGGATGTCTTTGTATCTTTAACTGATTCATACAGGGCTTTCCCAAAGTACAAGCTGCCTTTTTGGTGGCTTATGAGCTACAGCTTCCTCTTTTTGCTTAAAATATAATAATGTCCATTATGGCCAAACACTTCAATTCTGGTTTTTAATAATCTAAAGGGTGTTTCTCCCAAAGAAGTAATGTACTAATTCTTTGGTGGGCTTTTACAGTCTGAGTTTTTATTATTTTGTAGTGGCTTATTTTCCTCTGAGGGGCCTTTCCTTTTATTTTTGCTGTGAATAATTGCATTCCCTGCAGATTTATCCAGCATTTTTAAATGGTCTTTGCTCTTATTCAGAAGTCGATACACATATTTTGTACCCAAACGTGTTCATGAAACAGTTTAACCTCCTGAAGAGCATAATGTCTGGACATCCTCATATCTTAAAATGGATGAAACAGTCTAAAAAAGGCCTCTGCCTTATTTGTTAAGATTTATGCACAAAAAGAAAGCAGTGTGTTTAATTCAGCAAGTGTTCTTCCATTTACTCAATTTGTGAGATAAACCAAAGAAACCATACAGCATTCCAATCTAAGCATGATTATGATTCCCACCTTTACTAATCCTTTATGTTTGTAAACTTCTGAATTCTAAGGAAGTAGTTATATATATATATATATATATATATATATATATATATATATATATATATATATATATATATATATATATATATATATATATATTCTTAATATGTTGGTCAAAACAGTTTTTCCCCCTCCCCCAAAAGTAAAAAAAAATAATTAAAAAATGTAAAACATAATTGTACATGAATTGGCATATTCGATCAGCAGGCTCCTATGAGGTCTTTAAATCCTCTCTAAATGCACACTTCTAGTTTTTATTCTAGTCTAAGTGGACATTTGGCAAAATTTTACTTTTAAAATGTATTTTAATTGAAACATTTATCCTACTATATTTTATCTCCATTAAATTTTTCTTTTTGTAATGTGTTTATGTATTTTAGCCTTCAGTTTTTATCTCATGTTCCTTAACTGTGATTCATGTTCAGCACTTTGCTCACCCCCAGGTTGTTTTAAATGTGCTTTATAAGTAAAGTTTAAGTGGAGTTGAGTTGATGAATTATTCGTTTATTCCAAAAACCTTTTTTTTTTTATCATTAACCTAACTCGTTTACATTTTTTTAAGGCTCACAAAATGGTCTTTAAAATACCACTGTAAGAAGAAACTGGAAAAACACAAGCCCCCGCTGCGCTTTGCTTATTGTCGTGTTTGTAGCTCCAGTCAGAAGGGAGTGGCATCAGGAGTGGAATTTCACTTCCTGTTGTTTCGCAGGTGAGTCACCTGAGAACTGTCCTTGTTGTCGACACAGGAGTTTCGTGACTGTTTCATTTATTTTCCCTTTAATTGGTCGATTCTGTGGAAGCGCTTAGCCTACCTGTAGATACCGACCAGGAAGGGGCCATTTAGTTTTGGCACTAGATTGCGATTGGGTGTTACGCGCCTTTTACGCAAACCAAAAAAACTAAACTGAGCAGACTGACAGTTTTCTTTCCTGTTTGATCTCAGTTTTCTTGCAGAGGACTCCTGCTTTTATTTCACTGGTGATCTTTAGGGGACAATTAGAATGAGTTTTTCACCAGGATACCTGCGCGCAGTGCTCCTGCTTTTTGTTATTTTACGCTCCACCACCGGCCAGGATAATGCTGAGACCTGCCAGACCAAGTTCGAGAAGGGTAGAGACAACTTCGTGTTAGACACAGACGAATCTGTTAAAGAAGGGGCCACGTTTCTCGTTTCTCCGAAAGTGGAGAGGGAAATGGACTGCGTGGTCTCCTGCTGCAATAACCCCAAATGCAACGTCGCCTTGATTAAGAGCGGAACCCAGGAGGGCGAAGTCCAATCCTGCTTTCTCTTTGACTGCTTATACAAAAAGAAATACGTCTGTCGCTTTGTCAGGAAGAATGGATTCTTCAATTACATCCTGAAGTCCGTTTATAAGAACTATGTGGAACATGAACCTGTGACAGGTAAGCGCAAAACTTTATCTGATGAATGACAAATTAAAACAGTGCTTGTTATGGTGATGGGTTTTAAAGTTTTTACAATCATAAACCATTTGGCTTAATGACTATCAGAAGTTGTTGCTTGAGTTTGGTTTTTGAAAAATAAAAAAAGAATTACATGAGTTTCTTTTCTGTGGTCAAAAACTGATGAGTAAAACCATTAGAAGTATAAATATAACATTAAACGGCCATCTAGAAAAAAGAAAACTGAAGTATTGGTCAGCTGTTTTTTAGGGCTACATCAAGAGACTGGATTGATCAGAAATGAATTCTTGTAGCCTTATATATAAAAGTGAAGAAGGTTAATCAGTAATCAATGAGCCAAACATCACAGGTGTTTTTTTGCTGGTTAAGATTCTCAGTCTTCCAGGTCATAGTGATTCCAAAATAAGTAAAAAACAAATTGCTGGACTTTGTTTTCCAAGTTTGAAGACGTTTCGCTTCCCATCCATCCAGACATTTTGAATTGTGAAATCTTTCTGTTTAGAAAGTGAAACGTCTTCAAACTTGGAAAACAAGGTCCAGGGGTTTGTTTTGTTTTTCTTTTTTTGTTCTAGAAGTTTTTTTTTTTTGTTTGGTTGGTTTTAAAACAAATGACAAAAAATAAACCTGATAATTTTTTTCCCCCTTAGGTAGCAATACATAAATAAATAAATAAATAAAAGACTAAGATGCTTTGGATCAGAAAGCATTGGTTATATATAGTTTTTTTTACAACTTCTTCATCTTGACATGCCATGAGCCAATGCTTCATGACCACATCTCTACAATTCTACAGGGTTTTTGCAGGTCGAACGTCAGATATGAGCCACATGCAGAGTTTTGCATGTAGGAGGATGGGAAACAGATTACAAAGAATAACATTTCTGTCAGCTGTCCCTTCTACAATCCTAACATCCCTCCTTGATATTGGGATACATAAAAAAACAGCTGAAAAAGAATTTCAAAATTGGCGTGAAATATTTGTTTTTATGTAGGTCAAAGTTAAGCTGTTAAAACTGGAATAGCTTCTTTTTATGCCTGCTCTTTGTCGTGTGTATCGCAGATTAATAGCAGAGTCTGCATTTTGCATTTTACACATGTCAGGGAGTGAAAAGTTGCGGAGAATTGAATCCTCCATTTAATCTCCCTGTTTAATTTTGTCCTAGATTTTTTAATCTTTTTTTATCTTTTAATTTTTTTTATTTCATGTCTTTACTGAAGGTGTGGACAGTCCACCAGTGGCCGATGCAGGTCAGGACCTGGTGGTCCAGCCTAAGGAAAGTGTAACACTGAACGGTATTGAGAGCAAAGATGACAACAAGATTACTTCTTATGTTTGGGAAATGCTCACTGACTATCCTTTTGCTAAAATGGAGGTAAGAAAAGCAAAGTTGATTCTGACCTAATATTTCTATGCTCTTTTACAATTTTGCTAAATGTAATCTGTATCTTATTTTACCAACATAGCAGAGGCCACCATTGGGAAAATGAAATTGCTCTCTTTTTTTTTTGTAGAAAACACGTCATGCTGACCAGATCATTGTTTCCAATCTAACATCTGGGAAATACAAGTTCCAGCTGACAGTCACAGACAACAGTGGTCAGTCGGACAGCACCACAGTCACTGTCCTGGTCCTTACGCCTGAGGAGTCTGAGCGTAAGTGTCTCCTTCTCTCTCCAAATAATCGAGAAAGATTGGTTTTGTTTTTCCCTTTGTCTTTTTGTAACTCTGCTGTTTTTATCGTTTATTACCCGAGTATGATATTGGGCAGTCTGCTGGGGGAAAGTTGTCTGACTGTAATAGTTTTTACACTCTTAATTCACTTTAGCTCTGCCCCGATCTTTGAATTCCTACAGTGGTTCCACATTACCACAATGGGAATGTGGAAATAGCAATTCTTTTTTTTGTTGTTGAGTTTTTACTGCACTAGTGGCTCATTTTTTCGATAGAAGGCTGACAGGAAAGGGGGTATGGGAGAGGGGGTGAAACATGCGGCAAAGGACCACAGGTCGGAATCGGTTGCGTTGAGCACTAAGGCCTCCATACATAGGTTGTGTGCGCTAATCACTGCGCCACCGGCACACCCGAAATAGAAATAGAAATTTTCAGACTTTAATCTAACAAGTTGGAGAAACTGGCATAGGCATTGGTACTGAGGCTGGTGCAGATTAATACTGTGTGCCCACTGTCCAAAGTCCTAGGCCGCCCCCCCTTATTTGTTAGGCTGTTTGTTTTAAAATTAATTGGCCTCATTTCCTGTGAATGCTTCCTTAGTGAGTCGGTAAAGGAAACTTTAAGTTGGCCACAAATTGTCTTTTTCTGTGAACAATGGATCATTTCCTATGTGTACCCCATTTATATGTGCTTTGTGGGCACTCAGAGGAACAGCATGCTCCTAATTTCCACCGCCTCAAGTTTCCTTTCCTTTTCCTTTCAAAGAAGCTTAATTTCGAGCTTCATGGGAGAAATGTTGGTATTGAGTCCAATATCTACTGTTGTGTATCCTGTAAGTTAGCTGATCAAAATGTCGTAAACATTTTTTTTTTTCACTTTCTTAAAAATTATAGTAGTATGAACTATTTAACTGTAAAGAATAGATGAATAGACTTATTTTTAGTTACACAAATGTATTATAAAGGGTTAAAATCTTAACTTGGACAAAATGGCACAATAAATTAATCTGGAGCTGATAAAAGGGGTTCGAATCAAACTTTTTTAGAAAGTAGCGTTTGTTTTCTTTGGTTTAATAGCCTATTATAAATATCTCACCAAGAACCACCAAAATGGCTAACCAAGAGAGCTAGAACTATATCCTGTGCAACATTTAAATTTACATATTAGATGAAGTTTGAAATGTTCTTCTTTGAAATTATCATTGAAAGGGAAAAGCGGCAGTTGGTAACAAAATATGGATATTTGTTTTATAGCACAGCGCGCAACAGATCTTGAGTCTTCATAGGACGTATGATGCAAGTTAAGGGGAGTGTTAGCATAGTGGTTAGACACTATAGTGGTTAGTGCACATGGGCTTTCAGAAGGTTGCAAGTACCCGGTTCGATCCCCACAGCCTGCACTCTGGGTCCCTGAGCAAGACTCTAAACCCCACACTGCTCCCCGGACGCTGCACAATGGCAGCCCAATGCTCCCCAAGGGGATGGGTGAAGTGCCGAGGTGAATGTCTCCAGTGTTAGATAAAAAAGTTCAGCTATTGCTCATTTTATTAATTATTATGATATGATAAATCTAAGTGGAAAATTTATATGAAAATATTTGTTTTTTTTTTGTTTTTTTGGCTGAAATTACCTCACTTTGATGACCTATTCTGTATTTCTGCCTCTTATAGCTTTCACCTAATGTTGAGATTCTGCACTATGGATGAGTGAAACTCCTTTAAAAGTTTAACCAGCTTTGAATTTGAACATCTCAACTGAAATTATTTAGTTTGTTTAGCCCCTGCTTTTCTGTCTGTGCCAAATGAAAGTATAGTTTCCCGTCAGCTTGAATTTTCCGTTTTTCTGGTTAAGCTTTAGATGCTGTGGTAGGGTGAAGGATCCCACGTTAGTTGGAATGAGACCTGTTCAGACACGCTCAACAAACAGGGAAGCAGCGATAAGAGTTTGGCCAATGGAATGACGGCACAGTAAAATGACTTTGGTGCTGGGTGCTGGGGGAACAGCTGTCGGTAGGGTGCCATCTTTAGCGTGGGCTAACTAAATTATCAAGATTATTCCCTTTGAAATGGTTTGTGTTCAGTATTTGCAGGTCTGTAGTTTTACTGATCTCCTGATAGCATCTCTCCACCCCCAACTCAACGAAACCCGTCTTTCTGGTTTTGACTTGTTACACAACAAGACTTCTATCATTTGAATAAAACTGATTTGAAGTCTTAAATCATTTGAAAAACAGTTTCTTTTTCAGTCTTGGCTTATTAAACATTAGAAATGATTGACCCACCTGGTAGCTCAGTTACATGTTAACAGCTTTTAATTTCTTTAGTAGAAAATCCTTCTGGTATTTATTATTTGAGCAGTGCAACAACAGGTGATTCAGGCGTCATTTCCCAGGTAGTTAAATTTGTTGTAAATGTATTATATAATTTCTCTGAAATGTCTTACAAAAGTGATTGCTGACAAAGAGCGTGCATTATCAACCAGACACAGATGATCAAATCAGCTTTTTTCTTCAGTATTTTTTTGCTTGCAGCAAACCACTGTATGTTCTGTATTATCTTTGTGCGTGCTGAGCAGTTTCACAGTGATGAAACAGGAACTTTCTGTCTGTGGAGAAGTCTAGTTAAATGAGGCCAATGTCTGAGGCCTATTTTCTGAGAAATATTGGTTAGACACAAGTGGGTTTTTTTTTAAACTGACATCACCACAGAAAAGGAACTATAAACTTAATAAGTTTGGATATATCCTTAAAAAGTAATAATTTCAGTGATTTTAATAAAAAAAATAAAGAAATAAATAAAAAAAATAAAAAAGTAACACACAGATATATATTCCAATCATTAATAAACTTATTTGGCTTCCAGAAAATATATAACCTAAAAAAATCCTAAAAATGTAACTATGTCCCAGTATTGTACAGTATATTTACAAGATATTGATGAGGGCCCCTTTTTAATGAATTACTGCATGTATGCAGAAAAACATAGCTCCTAAGAGGTCCAAATTGCTTTAATAACCTCCCTCTTGATTGTTTGGTCTTGAATTTTCATCATCCTTATATTTTTATCATAAAATAAGCAGGAAATTTCAACAGCAACCTTAAAATCAGACATGAGTGCCATGGATCCCAAATATAGCCGTGGCTCCAATAATAAACAATTTATTTGCACTTTATGTAGCAGGAATGTTATTAACTCACTTCTCACATTTATATTTATGGACACATTTTCTACACCAGATGTCAAATACTCAGAAAATTATACTTGTAGAGGTTTTGGTTTCACATTGTTATGGTTTCTAAAAATGATCTGCCCTGCACTCCGCGTGTTGTCAGAGTGGCAACTGTTTGGAGCACAGAAAAGTGTGTTTGAACTATTCATCTTTTGGGTCTGTTTGAGTATATAATGCATTTAATAATTACCATGTAAATGGTTTATACCAAGCCTCCCCTGAGTGCCACTGGAGGCAGAACCAGTACCACAAGTAAGAGTTGAACCACAGTTTTAGAATAATCTGGAAAAGGATTTAGGTCAGCTGAGATTACTGGTCAAGCAGCAATTGGTAGATTAGGAATAACAGTATGATCATTAATTTGATTTTTGCTTAATGATAGTTATTTGATATGTTGATCTGATTTATTGCAATGTACCTTTTTTGAACATTCTTCCTTCTGCGAGTGATATAATTGTTTTTTTGTTGTTGTAATTTTTTGTTTTCTAATTGTGCATTTTATTATTTTGATTCCCCCCAGACCACTGCATGGTTCCAAAGAAATCAGGTCCTTGTCGTGGTTCGTTCCCACGCTTTCATTTCAATGCTGCTTCTGGGCAGTGTGAGCAGTTCGTCTTTGGGGGTTGCCTGCCCAATAAGAACAACTACATTAGCAAGAAGGAATGCAATGAAGCCTGCCCTAGCACAGGTAGGTGTATTTACTTTTCCTGGATATTTTTCTCTCTCAACTTCTTCCACTGTTAGATATAAAATAAACATTAACCTGATTTTTTTACTTTGGAGATACTGTTATGACTTTAAACTCTTCCATAACTGGAGGACCTCTGTAGAAATGGACTGAATGTTGAAATAGTATTATTTGTTCAGTTTTAATTAAAGCCAGGTTCCAACCCTTTGAATAATTAAAAAAAGAAAGTAACCTGCCCAAATTAAGCTGGACTGAAACTTAAAACAAAAGAAAAATTAGATGGGACATATTTTGTGGGTGTGTTTTTATTATTAGCAAATAATAATAGCATATTAAACATCCAATTATTAGATGTGTAGTTATTTGCAAAGTTGGAAAAAACATTACTGATTAAAGACTTTAGCAAGAAGTGGATGTCAAAATTCCTGAAAAGGAGCTTCATACCTAGATCACGTTGGATCTACGTTGTTCTAAGATGCCCATCACAAGTTTGATCATCAATGATGGAAAGTATAATCACAGTATCTAAATAAACCACAAACCAATAGATTTAGTGATAGATCAATGCAACCTTCTGCTTAATTTTATAAGAAAGAAATGTTTTTTCTTTATTTCTGCTGATGACCCCAAATTGAATCCACTGTAACTAATTGCCTTCAGAAGTCACCTAATCAGTCCAAGTTTTTCACGGTACAGTTGTTTATCCTGGTTGGACTTCTGCAGATTAGCCAAAGCTACATTTTGCCACTCATTCAAACCTAGAAATGCTTAAATGTTGATCTCTTTGTCAATCTGAAGGCCTATAAATAAGTTTTAAAATATCTTATACGGATTATCATGTTTTGTTCATTTATACATTCTTGAAAAAAAAATCAAATCTTCTTTATTTAGTGACGTTAAAATGTTTGAATGTTCGACTTTAAAATTGAGATTGTTTCAGTAGAATGACTACAGGTCGGAAATCTAGCAACTACTTTTTAATTATTTTTAAATCCAAACATCCAATTACCTCAGTCTAACAAACCAGTCGCTCCCTCCTCCCATCAGGCCAGTCTAAACATCTCCTGTGCTGTTTTACAGTTTTAATTGGGTTCACACAGGCCGTGTTTGGTTCATTGTGATTTGGCTTGATCCACACCACAGTTAAGTGTTTAGTTTCTTCTTTAAAGTCCGTTTTCTGGTCTTGGGGAAAACCAATAAACCCAAAAGAAAACTTAAAATTATTCTAGGGCTGTGTGTAATGGTTTAAATATCAATAATTTTTTATTAGTGTTTTTTTTTTACCTATTAGAGATAAGTACAAAGACCAATGCATGAAAGAGTAAGGTTATAATAAAAAAAATAACATGTTACTGAATGAATGAGTAAATTAATAATCTAAAGGGGGTGGAATCATTTGTCTAATGTAGCATATTGGACAAACTTTACTGATTACTTTAGCTGCATGGTTGCCCTGGCTGAATTTCTATCTCACAAACATGCTTCCCTTCTCATTTTTGTTAGTATTCATTTCCATCATCTTAGGATAAAAGAAAAACGTTGCATTTTACCTTATTAAAAAAACACCAACAAAAATACTATTTAACTAAAAATATAAGCAAGAATATATTTTATGTTTTCTTTTTATTTACTAAACAATCCTACTTTACAATAATATTTTATCCTTTTTCTTTTTCATAAAGGTCCAAGTGGTCGAGGTCTGCCTGTTACACAAGGTGGGTGCATTCAGTGTATTCTGTTACTTACCAACACTGTTTAAGCATGTGCTTTTAAATAGATCAGCGCTTGGAGGGGATATCCACATGCAAAATCTGACCTTGTGATATTTAGAATAACTTTGGTTTCATGTTTTGAGTGGTTTATGGTAAAACTTATAGATTTATATCTTTCAGGGAGTTTTGGTTTCACATGTGATGCAGACTGCATTTGTAGAGTTACAAGATGTTGCTAACTTTTTGTTTTTTGCTTTGTGTGCCACAGGGAAAAAGTGTGGTTCTCCTTGTACTCCAGATCAATTTGTCTGTGGTGATGGCTGCTGTTTGGAATCTGGACTCGAGTGTGACAACGATACACAATGCGATGATGGATCAGATGAAAAGAACTGCGAAGATCGTATGTGCTCTCTGTGCATACTAGAACCGATTTCAATTTTGACTTAGTTAAATTAAGGCTTTGATTTTTTTTTTTTTCATGTGTTTTTGGAATACCTATTAACATAAATCATGTCCTATGTATTTATCAGTGTATCGCAAGTTTCGTATTCTGTTGAACATTCCAGTGGATGAAAAGAAAGGTATGTTCTCCATTGTTGCTGTTGATTTTTGCTTCCTAATACTCTTGTTGACCTACATTCCTGCTATATCAAAGTTTTATGGTTTAAATTAAAGTGTTTTGTATATTTTGTACCTTTTTTATTCAATCAGCGCGCTGTACACACAGCCCAGAAACAGGAACTGGTAGGGAAAGCTATACAAAGTGGTACTACGACCCCTACAGTAAGAGTTGCTTACGCTTCAATTACGGAGGCTGGGGTGGAAACGACAACAGATTCGACACTAAGGACACCTGTGAACGAGTCTGCTCTGGGGTGACGGGTAGGTTTGTTTTCTACGTTGCATTATTACTCCAGTTGTCCAGATCACAAAGAGTTACTTTAGATATAAATAAATCTATATAAATTCTTCCTATTTGAACCCTGAAATAGGTCATCCTCTGTTCTCATTAATTATCCAACATGAAATATATTTAAGTTTTGACGTTATTTTCTTCTTATAATGCATCATGGTTTCTATGTGTTCTCCTTTTACAGAAAATGATGTCTTTATAGGAGATTCTCAAAAGGAGGCAAGAGTGGGCGAGGAAGATAGAAGTAAAAAACCTCTCTTTCATTTTCTCTTGATGTTATTGAAATAATGCAATTTGCATAAAAAGAATGACATATCATTTTTTTTTTTTTTTTAACCCTAGAGAATTTAGGCACATATACATTTTGTGTATTTCCATTTCCAGGCAGGTAAAATGCATCCACTTTGTTAAAATTCAGCAAGTCCTTCATTTTTTTATTTTTTTTTCCTCAAAATTTTACTAACAAGAGTCAAAAACACAAGTAATTTAAAGCTTCTTATTTTAAAAAGGTGAGTATAGATTAGATTTTCATTAAAACACAGTCTAGTTAAATTTAAGACCATAGCAATCATATATGTTTTAAGACTGTTTTAATTTGTGTGGCGTTGATACTGTCTTATAGTACATAGATCCACTTTTGGTCTGAATTGATTTTACAATAATGCAATTTATTGATTTACAGTCCATTCATAAAGACACATTCATTTCCACTTCCCTTTATTTCTAATCATAATGCAATACAGTCAGATTTAATTGATCATTCTGTTGAAGATCAGACGATTCCTTTGTTTTTTAAGCCTGGAGGAATCCCTCATTTTGATTTGTTTGGTTTGTTTTTATTTGTCTGAACAACTGAATTAATTGATATTATAGGGATCAATTCCTTCCATAATTACACACTGCAGTGTGCTGCAATTGCTAAAAACAAAACAAACAAAAACAAAAAAGTACCGGTAGTTGACTTAAATACCTTAGGATATAATTGATTTAGAAGCAACACTGTAACTTTCTGCCACTAGGGGCGCTAGACTTTTAACTTCTAGGTTTAGCCCCCAGAAAGCAACTGGCAACACTGTACTATAGTAAAACAAATTTTTCTCTCTGTGTTTTGGAATCTGATAATAAACCACTTCAAACAAATGCTGTATATTGAGCAGGAAAATCATTTAATTTATTTAAAAAGAAGATAAAAACTAGGTGGAAAAGGCCTGTTTCTTTGCTCAAAATGTCAACAAGCATGCAGGAATACCTGACTGTTTACGAAATGATAAAAAAAAAATCTATTTCGAATGCACCAGAGTCTTTTAAGTTTTTAGAGGTTTTGTTTTCCTTTTTTCTTTCTATGCAAACCAGGTTTTCAGTTTTTCCATCGAAGCATCCTTTCCTGATTCATAAAGTTGCACAGAGATGCCATCTATTGATCCATCTTAACCAGGACATTTTGTTTTTGTTTTTTTTCTAAACAGATGTCCTTATCATAGCTGCTCTGCTGGGTGTAGCCATCCTGGTTCTCCTTGCTGTCCTAGGTTATTGCTTCATAAAGAGGAGGAGGACTCCCAAGCACACCCGGGTGCCTAATGGCACTGCCAGTTCAGGAATGGGAAACAGTGATCACCTGGTCTACAATAGCACCACCAAACCCCTGTGAACCCATCTGCGTTTACCTGTTACTCCATACAGGAAGGTTACTTTTCTTTTTACTAAGTCAGTATATTGATGTTTTTAAAGAGGATGTACACATAAGGTAGAAAGTCTTTAAAGAAATGTGACATGTTTTAAAAACTGTAAACTTTTGGCATAAATTGGTTAAGAACTCTTTTTAAAATTAGTTTAAATGGGAGGGATTAGTTCCAGCAATATTAAGCCCCATCAGGAACCTTTCCATTAATATCAAATATTATATGTTCTTTCTTATATTATTTTCAGTTTTAATTGAAACTTTTCTTTTGTGTTCACCGTGAAGCCCCAGGTCTCCATTAGGCTTAAGTTTGAAGCAAAAGTCTTTGCGTTGTTTTATATCCAAACACCACGGATCTTGTGTGTGTGTGAATTTTTGACGTTAACATTCTTAACCTGAACTTATTTTAAGCCTTATGCTATGCTGTTGTTACATTCTGGTGAATTTCACTTGCACGTAAGATACTGTACATACCCTGAGTTGAAAACAGTTTTTCTTGGAGGTAATTTTATCAAATTTTTTTTTTTTTTTTTTGAACAAATCTTATGTATTGTTTTTCTTTAGTGTTGAATATGTTGAACGGTTGACGCTTTTGTAAATATAACCTTTAGCTTTACCTGTACTTTGATGTTGATCTTGAATTAAAAAATTTAAACCAATATATCATTTTGGAGGAAAAGTTTTCTTACCCAGAAATTATCTGAACTGTTCTAGTCAGTTTTTATTTTATTTTTATTTTTTTATAAACATCCTTCAAGATATTTGTCAAGCCAACCAAATACTATTTTGATTACTTTTGCAGCAAATGAGATTAAACTGATGCTTGGGGACATCTCAGCCTGGAAGTCATTCAATGTTCCTGGTTTGGTCCAAACTATAATTTCAGATCATGAATGGACCATTTCATTATTTTCAACTATTTATTAGATTCATGTACACTCACCGGACACTTTATTAGGTACCCCATGCTAGTAACGGGTTGGACCCCCTTTTGCCTTCAGAACTGCCTCAATTCTTCGTGGCATAGATTCAACAAGGTGCTGGAAGCATTCCTCAGGGAGTTTGGTCCATATTGACATGAAAGCATCACACAGTTGCCGCAGATTTGTCGGCTGCACATCCATGATGCGAATCTCCCGTTCCACCACATCCCAAAGATGCTCTATTGGATTGAGATCTGGTGACTGTGGAGGCCATTTGAGTATAGTGAACTCATTGTCATGTTCAAGAAACCAGTCTGAGATGATTCCAGCTTTATGACATGGCGCATTATCCTGCTGAAAGTAGTCATCAGAAGTTGGGTACATTGTGGTCATAAAGGGATGGACATGGACAGCAACAATACTCAGGTAGGCTGTGGCGTTGCAACGATGCTCAATTGGTACCAAGGGGCCCAAAGAGTGCCAATAAAATGTTCCCTACACCATGACACCACCACCACCAGCCCGAACCGTTGATACAAGGCAGGATGGATCCATGCTTTCATGTTGTAGACACCAAATTCTGACCCTACCATCCGAATGTCGCCGCAGAAATCGAGACTCATCAGACCAGGCAACGTTTTTCCAATCTTCTATTGTCCAATTTCGATGAGCTTGTGCAAATTGTAGCCTCAGTTTCCTGTTCTTAGCTGAAAGGAGTGGCACCCGGTGTGGTCTTCTGCTGCTGTAGCCCATCTGCCTCAAAGTTGGACGTACTGTGCGTTCAGAGATGCTCTTCTGCCCACCTTGGTTGTAACGGGTGGTTATTTGAGTCACTGTTGCCCTTCTATCAGCTCGAACCAGTCTGGCCATTCTCCTCTGACCTCTGGCATCAACCAGGCATTTCCGCCCACAGAACTGCCGCTCACTGGATGTTTTTTCTTTTTCGGACCATTCTCTGTAAACCCTAGAGATGGTTGTGCGTGAAAATCCAAGTAGATCAGCTGTTTCTGAAATACTCTGACCAGCCCTTCTGGCACCAACAATCATGCCACGTTCAAAGTCACTCAAATCACCTTTCTTCCCCATACTGATGCTCGGTTTGAAATGCAGGAGATTGTCTTGACCATGTCTACATGCCTAAATGCACTGAGTTGCCGCCATGTGATTGGCTGCTTAGAATTTAAGTGTTAACGAGCAGTTGGACAGGTGTACCTAATAAAGTGGCTGGTGAGTGTATGTCATCCCAATCTTAGGTAAAGCTGCCAGGCCAACAAAATGAACCAAATGAAAGTTGAGTAATGCTGTTGCAGGCAGATAATGAAAGCTAAATGGTGATTTGTTAATACATACCAATATAACTTGTTAACAACTAAGGTGTTTCCTTATGCTACATACTTTACTAGTTAGTTTATGGTGAGAATAAATACAATCATCTTTAATTTATGGGTATAACTTGTTCACAGCTTTCCACGTATCTAGAATAATTCTCTAAGGCCACAATATAAGCGGAATCAGGGAGAGTATTGGCCAGAAACAGTGGATGACGATGCTGGGCATTCACAGGTAGGAGGAGGTAGTAAAGGATAATTACCTCCAAGCAAGTATCAAAACGAAATATCCATTCTCAGACCTTAGTTAATTTCTGCATTATTTGCATCCTAAAAGACAGCAAGTGTAGGTTTTGCCATGTTTTTTAATCTTAAGTAGTTTTGCACATCTGGTACATTTCAGTGTCATAGATTGATACTGGTTATGGCAGCCTCTACCGTGTATTTTTGCAAACAGATATGACACTTTGTACTCCTTCAATGTGTTGATAACTGGCTGACCTGCTGTTGCTACCTTATCTGGAAAGTTTGCAGTTAGGCTGGTGCAGACACCTACAGCTTTAAGAGCCCTCAGGCACTGATGATAAAGGAGACTATTTTTTAAACTCAAATAAAATTGATTTTCTTATATTTTGGAAGAATCTTATACTCTTATGTTGTATTTAATTTCTTCTTTTTTCCATTATTGCCACATCATTGTGGAATAAATAAAGTTTTAAAATCTAAGGTTTGTTTCTAAACACTTTAGCTCATAGTAAAATGTTTTTTTTTGGCCTGGTAAAAATCCAGGGTCTCCTTTATGAAAAAAGCATGTAGGATTCGTACTAAATTTCTACCTGTGCCAAACTCCTGAAAATGGAGTAGGCCCCAAACAGTCCTGATTCATAAAATCATGTGCATGCACAAAACCTAGCAATCTTATAGATAACAGCTGTTTCAAAGTTTGTTTGTTGGCTCTCTTTACACCTGCATTAAGCCCAAAAATTATCCATTCAAAGTACTGCATGATAGTCATAACTAGTGAGGTGTTTTTTTAATGGTCACCATGGCAAACATACCCAGAAGAGGGAAATAAATGCAGTTTAAGAGGTAGAAATAGCCATGTTGGTGAGGAGGTCAGTCAGATGAAAATGCCAGCCACTGTAAATTAAAGGAAATACCATTAATGACGGCTGGTAGATCATCAAACACTCAGAAGTCCCTTGCAGAACCTTGCTTTCAAATCCATGAGCCATTCCTACAGGCCATGAAAGTGAACAGCAGGCAGTGGCATTCATTGAACCCATTTGTAGGTATTTCTTGTTTTGTTTTTAATTATTTTTAGAAGCTGGCAAAATTACAATGTATGTGCAAAGTAGTAACATCAGCAAATTTGCTGCAGAGTCTATTTAGCTTCTAGTTGAAGCCAATAAAGGAGCTACACATTAGTGGTATTAACATTTTATTCTTCTCTTACATAGGAAAGTTTCCCTTGATCAGTGTTTCTGTGATCCCTTGTCTTCTAAAATTCCCATCTAGTCGTGGCAAAAGACTGTCCAGCAAAGCTGCCTCTGGTTCTGAGAGTTCTTCTTTGTTTAAAAGGGAAACTTATTTGCATTGTTGGAAAAAGGGACTGTTGAAAATCTGACACAATTCAAATAAAGATATTTATCCTTCAGGAGAGTGTTCTGCTAGTTAATGACTGGATGCAGTCTATTGGGTATCCTTAGATTTGACAGAAAACATTTTATTTAGTTTGTCTGCAAAATTCCTTTGATTTGACTTTAAAGCATCTTGGGATAACATGTGTTATGAATTTGTGCTATATCAGTAAATTAAATGGTAAAATGTTTTTTTTTTCTTTTGCTGAGCATTACACTTTATAGATGGAGAAATTATATTATGTTTCCAAAATAAAAGAAAAAGTAATCTACTTTTCATATATAGATGTAGGAGTGCAATTTCTATAGGTTAAAATGTATTAATGCCAAATTTGAACAATAACAATTTTGGAAATAGTTCAATAATATGACTACTACCAATAATAATATAATATCATCAATTTAGTCATTGTAGAGTAGAAACTAAATATTCACATCAAAAGCACTCAGAAGAATTTTTTTCCCCCTTTAAATATTTAGTCATGTCGTACGTGTCTTTACAGTACTCGCCAGAAGATGGCGATATAGATCTGCTTAACTGAACTAGGATTAGAGTGTCTTGATGTTAAATCTTACCAATGGATTTTCTTTTACCTGTCATCTAAATTAATCAGAGGTGTCAAGTAACAAAGTACAAATACTTTGTTACTGTACTTAAGTACACTGTTTAGGTATCTATACTTTACTCCATTACTTATTTTTTTTCCTACTTCTGACTTCTACTCATTACATTTTCACACAAGTATCTGTACTTTCTATTCCTTACATTTTTAAAACAAACTTTACTCGTTACTCTTGGCTTCGGTTTAATATATATGAACATTTATTCACGTCATGTGCTCCACCCAATGCAGATCACTGGCTCCATCCACATCTAGTGAAAACTAGTGTAATTGGAGCAGTCATATAATGTAAACACTCATTGGTTAGCTAAAGGAAATCATCAGAAGCAAGCAGGTGTTCTTCAAACTGTAGACGTGAATTGTCTATGCCATGCTACAATGTCTGATTCAGAAAAAGATGTTTAAATGTCAAAAAGGTTGGACACAGGCGAGAGCGTATCGGGAGATGGAGACCAACAAGACTTCCCTCTTCCTTGGTCCTGTCTCAAAAATTTCGAAATAGTTGAGAAATTGAGCTTTCAATTCATATAGTGTCATCTGGCTGTTTTTTTTAAAGGTTACTTTATACTTTTATACTTTAAGTAGTTTTTGGAGCACATACTTTTTCACTTTTACTTGAGTAAAGAGGTCAAGTTGATACTTCAACTTTTAACAGAGTGTTTTTAAACTACACTATCTATACTTCTACTTGAGTAACAAAAAAGTGTGTACTTTTGACACCACAGAAATTAATCAGGATTGGAAGCAGTCTTTTTTTTGAAGAGGCAATGGAGGCTAAAAAGCAAATGCTAAGCGTATGAATAAACACCCTTCAATAGATGCACTCTATAAAAAAATATGTAAATAGCCAAACAAGGAGTTTACATAATATAAAAAATCCTGTAGCTGTTTACATAAAGGCTGGACCAATTTAAAAAAAACAAAAAAACCTTTATAGTTCACACAATCAGTTTAATTTCAATTCAATCCTACTTTTAAAAACATATGGCCATGGTTTAGCTTAAGCCTTAAGCAATTTCTATGATCCACTAGTGGACAGTTGAGTATAACAAGTTAACTTTTCAGCAATTCCTAATAAATTAATAAACGAAAACTCAATTTTATTAGAAAGAATCCTTCATTTGCAATCAATAAAAAAAACAAAA